GGACTCATGGAGAGAGTGTCAGGTTAGTAAGAGTGAGATGCATGTCAGGGCCATTCATGTGAGACATTGCAGCCAGGATAAGGTGTTACAACTAAAGTCTTACTGCATTGGGAAGCTGCTGGAGGGTTTTAGGCAAGAAAAAAAAAAGTGGTATGGTAGGATTATGAGTTTAAAAAGATCGTTCTGTGGGCTATGGGAGGTTTGGGGGCTGGTGAGAGCAGGGCAGTCAGTCAGAGTATATTTCAGAAATCCCAGGGAGAGGTAAGGAAGAAGGAGCTTTTTAGGGGTGGGGTTATATATACAGAATTCTGTGTAAATCACATTACACTTGAAGTGCCTCTTAGACACAATTGTAGATATACATTAAGCTGTTGGAGATCTGAAATTGGAGCTTAGGACAACTGTAAGTAGTAGAGAAATGAATTGGGAAGCCATCAGCATATGGGGAGTGTTAAAGGCCTGGAGCTGGAGATGTAACTTAGGAAGAAAGTACAGAACGAGGAAAGCAGCGGGATAGGGATCCATCTCTGGAGCACTCACAGGTCCGCCGGCCGCGCCGAGTCCGGGAGCCAGTCGGGGAGGCTAAGCCGCAGCAGCCGTGGGCGAGGAGGAAAGCCGGGAGGGTGGGGCCCCGAGCCGAGCGGAGACAGCACTGCAACAGCTGCAGAGCCGTAAGCGGGCCGAAATCCTGCTCTGGCCTGAGTCCAGTGCACACTCAGCAAAGTGACCACTGTATTTGGCCACACAGAGGTTACTGGTGACCTTTGGGAGGGCAGTTTGAATGGAGGGGTGGAGACAGAAGCCTGGTCAACGTGGGCTGGGGAGCAAATGGGTTCTGAGAATGTGGACAGTTTTATCAGGAAGTTTACTTTGAAGGGGAGAGAAAATGTCAGTGGATGGATGGGGAAGTAAGATGAAGAAACTTTTTTTTTTTTTTTTGTGGTACGTGGGCCTCTCACTGTCGTGGCCTCTCCCTTTGCGGAGCACAGGCTCCAGACGCGCAGGCTCAGAGGCCATGGCTCACGGGCCCAGCCGCTCCGCGACATGTGGGATCTTCCTGGACCGGGGCACGAACCCGTGTCCCCTGCATCGGCAGGCGGACTCTCAACCACTGCGCCACCAGGGAAGCCCTGAAGAAACTTTTTAAAACAGAATATTCTAAGCATGTTTAAATTCTGATGGGAATGATCCTGTAGAGAGAAAGAAATTAATAATGCAAGAGAGGTAAATTAAAATCAAGAAACCTCATTCTTTTTTTTAATCTTAATTTTTTATAGAGTAATTTTTATTTTTTATTATTTATTTTATTTATTTTTTAATTGGAGTTGATTTACAATGTTGTGTTAGTTTCAGGTGTACAGCAAAGTGAATCAGTTATACATACACATATATCCAGTCTTTTTCAGATCCTTTTCCCATATAGGTTATTACAGAGTATCGAGTAGAGTTCCCTGTGCTCTACAGTAGTTCCTTGTCGTTTATCTGTTTTATAAATAATAGTGTATATATGTCAGTCCCAACCTCCTAATTTATCCCTCCCCAACCCCTTTCCCCTTTGGTAACCGTAAGTTTGTTTTGTATGACTGTGAGTCTATTTCTGTTTTGTAAATAAGTTCATTTCTATCATTTTTTTAGATTCCACATACAAGTGATACCATCTGATATTTGTCTTTCTCTGTCTGACTTACTTCGGTTAGTATGATCATCTCTAGGTCCATCCATGCTGCTGCAAGTGGCATAATTGCATTCTTTCTGTAAGGAGCCTCATTCTCGATTAGACAAGAAAAAGTGGGATCCAGGGAGCAGTGGCAGGGTTGGCTGAAGGAGGCCTCTGTTGTGCAGGAAGGATGGTAGGCGATGTCCATGCAGACACGAGTAGGTCATTAGCCTTGTGGTGGGTCTATAAGGGAGTCCTCAAAATACACCTATTTTCTCAATAGAGGAAAGATTACCAGTTAAGAGTATCGTGAGAGGAAAAAGTAGTGGAAGCTGAGGCAGTAAGAGAAAGTATAAAACGGTTGTTTCAGAAAACCCTAGGCATGTGTAATAAGATTGTCAATCAGTGTTTAGTGCCCACACTGAGAGGTGGTTATTAATTTAAGGGAAGACTAGAAAGCATGGCTATACCTGTTTTTTCTCCATCTCTGTGCAGCTGCATGGGCACAAGTCTGGGATAAAGAAATAGCCTTAACAGGTTTAACTAGTCTGGGGTTTTCTTAGGTGAGTCCGGCAGAGAGAAAAAGACGCGAGGGGCTGAAGGTGTTGACAAAGTAGTGGACCATGGAATCTAGGCTGCATAAGATGGAAAATGTGGAGGTGAGAGAGTGATATATAGGCTATCATATGATATATATGTGCCCCCCAAATTCATACACTGAAGCCCTAATGCCCAGCACCTCAGATTGTGACTGTATTTGGAGATCGGATCCTTAAAGTGGTAATAAAGTGAAAGTGAAGTCGTTAAAGTGGGCCCTAGTCCAAAAGGACCGGTGTCCTTATAAATAGAGGGGATTCGGACACGCACACACACAGAGGGACGACCTCATGAAGACAGACAGAGAAGACGACCATCTACAAGCCAAGGAGAGAGGCCTCAGGAGAAACTGACCCCACTGACACCTTGATCTAGGACTTCTAGCCTCTAGAAACGTGAGAAAACAAAACTCTGTTGTTTCAGCCACCCAGTGGTACTCTGTAGTCATGGTAGCACTAACAAACTAATACAAAAAGGTATCATGAATATCATAGAAAAGAAGTTGGGTCAACAAATTATATGTTCAGCTGACCACAGAGAATAGTTGGCAAGAGAAGCTGAGTACAGCTACGCCTGGAGAATGGGAGGTGGCAGTGAGGAAGCCGGATGCTTAAAGCAAGGTGATGCAGGTGGTGAGGTGATGACAAAACCCAGGGTGCGACTCCGGCAGCGCTCCAGGTGGGCTGGGGAGAAGGTCCCGGGAAGAAGGGAGCAGAGATGGAGAGGACAGGGTATTGGGAAAGTCCTTCACGTGGATGCTGAAATCACCCACCAGGGTGGCAGGAGTAGGAACGAGGAGGGAAAGAGTGAATTAGTGAAGAAAATATCCCACAAATGAGAGAGAGAGAGCACAGCCAGGGTATCCTAGATGATAATGTTGACAAAGGCAGGGGATACGGTCTGGTCGCCTTCACTTCAAAGGAGGGAGGAGGGCAAAGAGGAAGAGATGGTGGGGAACAAAGAAAGAACGGGATGACTTCACCTCTAGACCCTGAGCAAAAATTGGCCTTCAGTGAGAAGACCGCCAAGGAGACAGTGTCCCTCTGGAGGGGGACCTCCAGGTTCACTCAGGAGAAGAAGGGGAAGGAACGGATGAGAATCAGAGTTGAGGAAACAGAGGAATTTGCTTATTCTGGGCCATGAGTTCCACGCGCAAGACAGAGTGATACTAAAATGGATTATGAGAACTACTAATTTATTTATTTTTATTAAAAAAAATTTTTCTCCCAGTTTTATTGAGATGTAATTGACATACAACACTGTAGAAGTGTAAGGCGTACAGCATAATGATCTGACTTACATACGTCATGAAACGATGACCGCAGAAAGTTCAGTGAACATCGATCATCTCATGTGGATGCAACATTAAGAAAGAAAAAGAATTTCTTTGTAACGAGCTCTTAGGATTTGCTCTCTTAAACGCTTTCATATATAACATCCAACCGTGTTCATTGTATTCATCATGTTGTGCGTTAAAACCACTCTCACTCGAATCTAGATACACCGAACTCACTTTTCCAATCTCCGTTCAGATGGAGAGTGACTCGCTGAGGTGCTGCCTCTGGTTTTGAAGCCGCAGAGGGAAGTGCGTGTCTGGGTTGGTGCAGGATGCACCGCTCACCATGGAAAAAGCAGACAAGCACAGATGGCTTCACGTGATCCAGACTCACAGGAGGTCATTCCCGAGGAAACAGCCAGCCTGCTGGACTGGGGAAGAGCCACTGTCAGGTCTGTTTATCCTGACCAGGGGGACTTTCTGTCTCCCCCTGTAAATCCCAGGTGGAAAACCCCAACTGAAGAAGCTGATGTATTTCATACACAAGCCACGTGGGACCGGCTTTATGATGACCGCGATATTCACCCAGTGAATACACTCATTTCCCAGGTCACGGTAAACACTGTGGTTAAGGGGGCTCCTTTCACACGGGCACCCTGTGTACCTTATGGTTGCAAAACTGAAAAACAGTCTGGGAAGCCTTATCCAGTTTGCTCTCTCAGCTTCCCCGTCGTGTGTCTTACAGACGCTAATAAAAACAATAGGTTTATTAACAAGAGTTTAGGAGGAGGCAGAGGGGAGAGTCAAAGGACTCTTCCAACAAGGTAGCAATTTTAAAAGGGTTCTTCAGAAATAAGGTAAATAAAGTGAGTATTGATAGGAGTGAAACAAAGAGGAAACAGAGAGGGAAGTGTCATGGGACTCATCCCATGGGGGTGGACGTTTTTAGATGGTCATTAAGGAATGAGATGAATAAAACGAACATTGATGGGGTTATCACAAAGTTTTATTATAGCACCAAAGGTTGGGGGGGCCAAAGCGACACCCTGCTGGTGCCCAAATGTAAAAGGGCCCCAAACAAGCTGGAAGGTAGAGATTGCTGTGAGAAATCTGACCAGCCGTCGCTTGGGGCAAAGGGTCAGGCCGGTTAATCAAGTTAAAGGTGGACAAAAGTGCCAGGGTCCCTCGGCTCGGCCCCTCTCTGGGGACCCAGAGTCTTTTGCACAAGATGGCTGAAATGGTCTGAGGGTGGAGAAGAGAAGTTTCCAGGAGTCCTTAATACAGGAGTTCCAGGAGTCCTTAATACAGGAGTCCCAGGAACTGTGGTGCCAACACCCATCGGTGGAGGCTGGACTCTGCTGCAGTTAGACTGAGAGAGCGTTAGAGTGTGAGCGTGGATAGGGTTATGAAAGCTGGGAGGTTTAAGCAATGTTACGTAGAGAAGTGGTGTCACGTTGTGTGCGAATCGCTGTTACGTGTGCCTGGGGAACACTTCCTCAACCTAATACTGCAAAACCAAGATGTGTTGATGAAATGTTAAGGAAGGCCACAGTGAGGAACGTAGGGTTGGTGGAATTAAGGTAAGAGTTTGTAGGAACATTGGTATGTGTGAACAGGCTTTCTGTAATGTGGTTTCTTTACCTATTTGTGTGATGGGGATGGAGACTGTGTCTGGCTGGAGAACGTTTCCCCACCTAGTACTGTAAAACAGAAGGCTATGAATCTGCCCTTCGACTGACATTAATTGGACATGCTTAATGGGAACCAGTAAGATTGCCTGAGCCCACGCAGTATAGACTAGAAATTGGAGTGCTGGTGGAGACAGATCGCGCGTGTGATGGCCCTCTAGACCGGGGCTTATGGTAAGAACCTGCGATCACCTCCCATCGAGGACTTCCGGTCCTCTGCACCAGAGCATTTCCATTTGAGGGACATTTACTACCTTGCTGTCTGACATTATTGCTGGAAGCTGCTGCTAAGACTGACATAAAATGATCTTAAAACCTGAAACACCCACATTGTCTTGGGTGATGTCAGAGACACGCTGTTGAATGAGGGTGGCAGTACCCAGAAGAGTTCCATAAGCAAATGGAAATGATTTATACAGGGTCGTGCTCCCTGGCGAGTGTGAGGAGGGATAATCCCTAGCAGGAAGCCTCTTTTTCTCCAGGACTGACTCTGGAACCGTGGGAGGAGCTGCTGGATTGGGAGAAGGCAAACACAGAACAGCCTGGTGGGCTGAATTGCACACTGTTTTCCTAGTACTGATGGGAGGATGGAACAGTGGTAAGAGCCCCTCTGTTTGGATTTTTACTCACGAGCAGCAGTAGCCAATGGCCTGGCCATGAGGTCAGACAGACAGCAATTGGAAACCTGGCCTATTGAAAGGATGCCTGAATGGGGCACGGCCCTATGGGAATTTGGGGGATGCCCTAAAGTAGAACATGACAATGCCCATCAGAAGAACCCCCTTCCAGTTTTGGAAGGTGATTGGAAACGACGAGCAGCTATCGCCATGTGCTTGCTTAAGGTGGCTGGCCCCGCAGATCCATGAATTAAGTGGACATCGGAGTCTGCAGCAATGCAAAGACGGGCTGAATCTAGACATATTCCTCTTGTTCCTTCTGAGGCGCAAAATGCTAATAGGAGCTGTTCTGTCTGCCAGCAAAAGAGAGAGAGATTGCAGGCGGCTGTGCAGTACATTCCCAGGTGGGAAGACCCTGAGCACAGCTGGCCAGCGAGACCGATGCAGGAAGCCCCGAGGGGCTCCAAGTGGGGCCTGAGAGGAAGAGGCACGGGCTCTAGACTGGGCTTTGCTTCCCCGGCAGTCGATGCAGTGCTCCGTGTGCCACAAAACAACTGGAGCAGAACGTAGTGTATCCACGTGGATGGCTCAGTGTCCCCTCTTCAGACGAAGGAACTCACTGTATAGCTGTCGACTGAAGAAAAATGCACAATGTGAGAGATGTGAGTTCAGTTTTATTGGGGGCTAAAACGGGGACTATAGCCCGGGAGACAGTATTTCAGATAGTTCTAAGAAACTGCTCCAAAGAGGTGGGGGAGAAGGTCGGTGTTCTATCTGACGTCAGTGAAGGGAGCGCGTAGGCTCAGGCGAGCACACGTGTTGGCAGAGCCTGGCTGCCGGTCACGAGGAGCGGACGTCACCGTGAAGGATTTCAGTGCTTTTCTAGATACGAGGAGATGCAAGACCTGGGCTCCTAAAATCTTCTCCTGAAAATATCTGACTCTCTGAAGGCCTGTTCTGCCAGTTTCTCCCAGAGCACAGAGCGCCTCATTCCTGGTCTCCACCCTGAGCTCCTTTCAGGGGGTGTTGAAGGTCAGCGGCTGCAGCGGCTCCTGATTTAATCCTCGTGGAGGCAGATGGCAAGTGTCAGTCTGTGGTTGGCGCAGCCGATAATGTCTGACCCTGGGCACAGGGATCCCCTCGCAGCCGATAATGTCCGACCCTGGGCACAGGGATCCCCTTGCAGCCGATAATGTCTGACCTTGGGCACAGGGATCCCCTCGCAGCCGATAATGTCCGACCCTGGGCACAGGGATCCCCTCGCAGCCGATAATGTCCGACCCTGGGCACAGGGATCCCTCCTCAGGCTGGGCCTGGCAGTTAAACATGTCGTCCAAACAAGGGGAGATACAAGCATGAAGGGCTGGCTTACACGCCTTCGTGAGTGTGTGCTCACACTCAGCATGAGCACGGGTGGGGCTCAAGGAGTGTCCGTCCCCACTGGATAGATTCCTCTTTTTTTTTCTGGTGGATCTGGGAAGAGCAGGTGAGGAAGGGGCTGCTCTACTTCCTTTCCCACATCACCTCCGCTTTTCAACATTCCCCCTGCTCGCTGCAGTGGCCACAGGCTCAGCGCTGCAACTACAAGGGCTGGAGGAAGGGGTGACTCCGAAGCGAGGAATAGTAGCTGTTTTTAACCTTTATATCACACTTCCTGAGGGCCTGATGGGGTAGGATGTGCCTTCATCCCATCTGCCAAATAGGGATCAGCAGTGAATTCATCTGTATTGCCTGGGGTAAAAATCGCCCACTAGGTGAACCTCTGTAAGCTCTGTCACCCACTCTGTGTGGACAGGGGTGGACCGAGGGGGAGGGGCTTGCTAGGATAGTATTGCTGCCTGCTGTCTAGTCCGGCACAGGGGCTGAGCCCAGCGTCCCTCCCAAAGGTGGAAAAGATTGGGGATAAATGGAGAGAAGGGAACGTAGCAGCTGGGAATAAGAGAATAAATAAACGCGTTATGTTATGGAAGGAGGGCAATGCAATATTAAGTAACGTCTCAAAAGAGGTTCAGGGTAAGAGATGATATTGTCTCTTAGCTCTGTTATGCCAGACACCTGAAGGGGTGAAACCATATGTTACTGAAACCACTCCTGCTTTTGGAACCTGACAAGCTGGATAGAAACCTGTGTCCGCATCCTGGGAGACATTTCATATGATACGAGGAGGGACTGGATAGTTATTCATGACTGACTGGGATTCTAGTAGTGTGCCATTTTCCTGTGACTTTTATGATTGTTTTCCTGTAAGAGATCTGTGTTCGAAGACCGGGGGTAGATTTTGTGATTTTTATGTGTGTATGTATATATATATATATATATATATATATATATCTTGATCTTTGCCCTACTTCTGGCTCAGAGCTCTTATAACCCTTCGAATGTCCTAAGTGAGAAAGGCCCTAAAGGGAGTGAAATACTGGAGATTAAAATCTCAGAAGTCAAGAAATCGGGGATACCGATTACATGTAGAATATGGTCTTGGATAGTAGAGGCGAACATCATACGTGGGGAGGAGATGAAAACAGTTTTCGAGTAGAGTGTTGATAGCTTGGGGTGTTAGTCGATTCTTGCTGTGGTAGCAAACAACCTCAGCATCTCAGAGGTGTACAAAAATGCAAACCTCTTCTGCTCACGTCAGGATGAAGTTGGCTGTGACCTGGTTCTGCTGGGCTCGGCTGCATGTACAAGCCCAGCAAGCAGCCCCATTTAGGATATGCTGTTCTGATGCTGGGGGACAAGAGCAAAGAGGCAGAATCACAGTAGAAGCTGATTAAAGGTTCAGCCTATATGCAGGGAACCCTAGTCACTAACATCTCAGTGGCCAAGGCAAGTGGCATGGCCTGTCCCAGATCAGTGGTGTAGAAGTACATTTGCCCGTAGGGAGTCATGGTGAATGAATAATGCATCTGCCATAGTTGCTAGCTTGGATACTGGGGTTACCCCAAATGTTATAGGCTCTTGTTAAGAAGAGAAAGATTGTAAACCAGTTGCTAAAGCTCAAAGAGAGAATCATTACAATAGCTAGAAATGTCTGGGTAATAGGTCATGTTAATATAAAAAACTGAGAAGGACAGTGGCCGAACTTTGGCATTTTTATGCTTTGTATCCTCTTATGAGACTATATCCTTCAACTAAAGACCAGGAAAGTGGTTCAGCAAAGCAAAATAAATGTAGTGAACTAGATACAGATCTGTAAAAGCTCATTACATAGACTGTTTTCCTTTTTCAGCAATTTCTTTCTAAAAAAATCATCATAATCCCACTACCTTTTCGTGTTGATAAATGTGCAGGAGTGAAATGCCAGTCCATTGGGTGAGCTGGAAACGCTTCATGTCTACAGTCAAAAGCTTGGCTAACTTCTTGCATTTCTTTTTGTATTTAATTAGACACTAAAGATATAGAGACATTATTTTCTTGGAAAGTCTGGCGAGTTGCATGACTAAGCCTTAATTAAAACAAGGACCTGGTTCTGTTTCTGCTGTGTCCTGGGAGAAAGTACCCATGGAACCTCTTGATAAGTCTCTCTTCAGAAACACGTAACTCCAGCTTCTTGCAGAGGAGTGGGAAGTAAAAACGTGTACCCACTCCTGCATTTCGTTTTCTCTGGATTTGTTGCAATCATAGGAAAGGGAATATTGTTTGATGTTATTCTGCTTGATACTCATGAAAATAGCTCACATTTATTGAGCTTAGAACCAGCCACTTCTCTGTACATAGATTACTTAACTGAATACTCATAATGACAGCACTAGAAAGCAAGTGTTATTATCTGATTCATTTTATAATTGAGTAAAGCATGAAAAGGCTAAGCATAAATTGCACAAGTTGCATATGGAATAAAGTAATGGAATCAGGGTTCAATCTATGTAGTGTGGCTCAAAAATCTGAATGAACCAATAGAATATACCTGTGATTCTCAGACTGTGCTGACACACGCTGGGTTATTATAGATAACTGATGGGGTTATTTTAATTTTTCTAGAGAATCATCTCTTAGATATCATGTAGATTACTATATCCAAGTCATTTTAACTAACTACTCAATAAATTGAATTTTTAGGTATTTCTTTTGGCCTCAGCGCGTCATGAAACAGTTCCTGAGACGCTGAGAGTGTTGTGAACTGAGGATGTTTGGGAGCCTCTGTAGTATCCTGTCTCCACACGCTGGCTACTGCAGTGTGTAGTAAGATTCCAGACATCTCCCTCTGATTGGCCACTGACATCTTGTGCATCTGAAGCTTTGTCGTTCTAATTATTGCTTTCTATTAAAATTGCTAGTGTTTCTTCATCTTTACTCTTTCTTTCATCATTACTGTTAGCATTATTATTTTGAGTAGTGGTTATCATATTTAGAAATACGCTTGGCTAAAAAATTATAAAGAGGTTTGTCTTCTTTGTTTTGCGCACTCCGGGGACCTGAATATTGAATCTAGTAGAAAGGGTCCACCAGATCTAGGTATTCAAATTTTCAGGTGTAAGAAATTTTAACTCAGGACTTTCTATCAAGATGAAAAAGAATGTGTTGAGATTAGCCAACCACAGTGTTTGTTATGGGAACTATATATATAGTTTAGTATACAAGTTTATATTTGAGAAATATTCTCGAATTCCTCAAGAAAGTTCTGGTACTAAAATTGGTTTTCTAGTACGGGTCTTCAGTTCCTCCGCCCCCCGCCCCCAAATGTAGTGATAATTTTTAACCTGTGTAGTTATAGAGATAGTTCAGGTTGGGACTGAAATTTTCCTCTAGATTTTTGGAATCTACTCTGATGGTCAACTTGGTCTTGTACAATACCCATTTCTTGCTTCAGGACATGTTTTTAGCCACTGAAACATTCTTAATCTTTGCTTATGCATTTATTCAAGGCATAAATTCATCATTGAATTCCTAGTATTGATTAACCATGTTCTTTGGAAGGTTTTCTTTTATATGATATTCTCTGCTAATGCCTGTTACAGAAAACAACAGGACAAAGCTCTATTTTTCTGCTTCTCTCACCTGATCCCTCTGGGGTTTCCTTTTCTCTGAAGTAATAATAATTAGCAAGCCAAGGCAACGAGAGTCATGTTTAAAATCTTTTCAGTTGTGGTATATCGCTCTGCTTGGCACCTGCCAGTCAAATGGATGCTGCATTCCTCAGCAGTATGGCTTGACTTGTCAAGAGGCTTGAAATACGAGCCTTTACCTGACTCTTCACTGAGCAGTAGTAGCTAGAATCTTCCTGCCCAGGAACCTGTCTAGATTTGGGTGACTTTGCTGACATATGGAAGTGTTATGCGCTGAACATATGCTGCCCCAAATTCATCTGTTGTAGCCCTAACCCCCAATGTGATTGGCATTTGGAGATGAGGCCATTAGGATTAGATGAGGTCATAAAGGTGGGGCCCTAATGATGGGATTAGTGCCCTTACAAGAAGAGACACCAGAGCACCCTCCCCTGCAACTGCCCCCAGCAAGAAAGCAGCCATCTGCAAGCCAGGAAGAGAACTCTCATCAGAATCCGATTATACTGGCACTCAGAGCTCAGACTTCCAGACTCCAGAACTGTGAGAAAATAAACTTCTGTTAAGTTACCCAGTCTGTCGTATTTGCTTATGGCAGATCTTGCTGAGCAGTAAAAGTAGGCACTCAGAATTTGTGGTTGCTTGTTTGATTGATGGTCCGCATCTTAATATCTTGTCAGTTAGTTTCTTTTAACTCAGCCTGACAAACTGTGGGCACTATGAATTCAGTAAGATAAGGTCAGAAGAGTCTCTGCAAAGCATCAACTGATTTCTGTCTGAAGCAGACAGATCCTGCAATCTCTTTTTCATTGGTCTAACGAAAGAGAAGAGAAACTCGGTCACCAGTCGACATCTTAGAGTGAATTCGCAGAAGAAGTGTAGACAAGCGGTGTAGACTTCTACTGCTCAGGAAATTGACCACACTTGCTGCCAGAGCTCCTGACTCAGCCATGAGTGAACTGTAGCTGGTCTGTGACCGCCTAGGGAAGTTTCAGACATTGCTCCGGATGTTAGAACATGCCTGAATCGTGTTAATGATTGTAACAGCAAGGACTGTAAACAAGCACAATCATATGAAGCCTAAAAAGCAGAATGTGCTGGCATGACAGATGCTTCATTGCATTTTATGCTGAAATGAATATAATTTTGTTAATTTGGGGGAATGACTGTATGAGTGAAGTTTCCGTTTTTTTAAATGTTTTTTGACATGTTGAAAATTTTCTAAAAGATGAGCTTGTTTGTAGTAGGTTTGGTGAATATTAACTGAGAATGGAAAGCAAACTTTAGCATGCCAGTAATCCTGCTTCTTCTGTACAAAGTGGAAAAATAAGCCCTGTGGCTTATTTCATACTCTGCTGTGCTTGTGAGTTGAGACAAGTACTGATATAACTTCCTGTATGTTACAGCGCTATTGAGAGCTTACTCCTGAGGTTCCTCACCGCATTCATGTAAACAAGCTCTTCATTAACATGTGAAGGCTTATTTTTGGCCTCAAAATGTGTCAATTTATTAATTTCATATTTCCCATTGTTACCATTTTGACAGATCTTTCTGCCTTTGTTTCTTGTTTCATGTTCTATTTTTCATATTTAATACTTTAAGGTATTTTTTTTTGGATGGGGGTTGTGTCTCAAAATCTGTTTCAGGTAGAAGAGAGCCACCCAGCACTGGTCCTGATGCTGACTTATGGTAACAATATTATATAAGTATCCAAGCTCCTGAAATGTTGATCTCATAGGTCTGGGATATGGTCTAGGGATCTCCTCATATATGTATTTTTAAAAAGCTCCCCATTTCATCTTGATATGCAGGCAAACATAAGGACCACCGAAATGGAGAAGTTATAGCTGATGACCAAGCCCACAGTTTGATACTGTAGAATGCTTGCCCTGTGAAGCAAAGTTGAATTCCTTTAAAAGGTATGTAGTTTTCAATAAGGCATATCTCCTCTTGGCCTGAGGGTCTTCATTTATGGAATCACACATTTGCACTGTCTCTAAGAACTGATGAACTTGTAATGCAAACAGATTTCTTTTAGTTCTGAATTAGTTAGATAGGTTCTCCATTATGCCTTTATGAGCAGTTTTAGTCTTTGCTGTGTTTAGGATGACTCTGGTTAGCATGATCATACAATTTATCCTTGGGGAAATTATATCATCTACTGTCTAGTCAAGAGGTTTCTTCTTCTTCGCATGGCACCATGTAGGGCTCTTTAAAGTATTTACGTTTGCATCGAGGCCACACTTACTTCCTCATTAGGCCGGCTGATTGGGACCAGTGTCATCTCTGTCATTGAGACAGTGACCCAAAATATTCAGCCTGCTGATCCTAGGCTGATTACCTTGCCTTTATATTAGAAATGTATAGGGATAGCACATGCTGTAATCTCTTGATTGAGAATTAATAAGCTGATGAATTCTGAGTACTTCTTACATGCTAGGCACTGAGAAGGCAAAAAGGTGATAAAAATCAGTCTAGTCATCATTTCACGGCAATGAAGAAGAAAGACTTGGTACTGACTACAAAAGAATAGAGGAAGGGTATTAAAATAGGTCTACAGAATTAAAGAAAGCCTCTGGTGGAAGTGACGCCTGGGCATTGTCTTGAAGTGATGAGTCAGAATTAGCCAGGAATGGGTGAGTGGAAGGGTGTTCCAGGCAGGGGAGGACAGCAGCAGAAGCAGAGTCACGGAGGTCACAGGTCACGGTGTGCTTCTTGAGACTGAAGATACTTCAGTTTGTTTGAACATCAAATATGAACAGGGAGAAAATGAATTTTGTTTGCTTGAGAGTTTAGAATTAGACAGTGAAGTACAGTGGCGTACAGATGGCTGTACGTCATAAGAAAATGCCTAGCCCGGGTAAAACGAAGGTGCAAAATCTGGATCCAAACGTAGTCTGTTTGGCTTTAAACTTGGAATTTTGCCACCTGATGTTACATGGCATGAGATACAATAATTGGAGAACCTCTGCTCACTTTGTGGGCAGATGGGACATGTGATGTCAGCGTGGGTTAAGATTGAGTTATCGTTTGACTCTGTCAGTCCTTCCGTAATAAACCGTTGTGTCTGATTATACATTGGGAGATATATCGACACAGATGGAGGTAAACTAGTTACATTCCTTAAAGGTTTCTCTTGAATAGACATGCTTATAAATGACATCTATTGTAAGCTCTTGGAGGCCAGTGGTATCTTATTTCTGTTTCTGTCTCTCTGGTGACTTGCCCAGTGCTAGGATATAACGATGACTTAGTTCATGTTATTTGGATGAATGTGATGAACAGGATGAAAGAGCTAAATGAAGATAGAGGAGCTGATTTACATGAGATCTTCTTAAATATAAGCCCATCACAAGAGTGCATTGATCTCGTATACAGTTAAGATTGAAATAGGGGGAAAAGGCACTTTAATAAGACGTTTCAGACTATGCTTTCTGAAAGATGTGTTGGTACCTGGTAAGAAGGGATGGGGGCAGGAACAGAGACGGAGGGACACAAATAACATGAGCTGCCATTGATACTGGATAATTTTCAGTTATTTTATGCTAGAAACCAAAACATCTCTGAAGTGGGCTGCTGTAGTTTGAGAATCAGACCTCTCATCCTACAAGAATCATCGAGAGTGGCCCCACCAGGTAGAAGTGTAACACTAGCTGGGAGGAGTGTCGTTACAGAAAACCAGAAGTCCCCTAAGAGTCCCAGTGACTGCTGAGTCCTTTATAGCAACTGATGAACATCTTGCTGTCAGATCAAATTTATTGATCACTCAAACATGGCATTCTAGTTGCTCCTTTTCCTCTGATGCCTGCTTACCTCTCCCCGTTCTTTATTTGTATTGGATTTTTTTTTTTTTGGAGAATATATATTACAGGAGACATCTGTAAAAGCAAGAAGGTGATTAATAATGCCTACCAACTGAAATGAGGCTGCAGCACCATTCATGCTGATGTGGAGAGACCAGAAGTTTTCATTGCCAATGGTCTTGCCTGGTTGTGCTGGGAAATTAAAACCAAACCTTAGATATTTGGAAATGGTTTGGTTAGAGACAGGTGAAAGTGTTTGGTTATTCTAGGTGCTCTGTGGCTTTCAGGTTGAGTCTCTGATAGCCAATGCACGTTCAGACAGCATATTTCAGGATTCTGCAAGGGCCAAGTCTGTGCTTCATCTAAGCAGAGACATGGCTTCAGACTTTGGGAATGAAGAACTGTAAGGCCACACAATGTGCTCTCCAAGTGCAAAGATGCTAATTGGATTATGGATTCCTGACAATTCCGTGGATTCACTTCATTTTGCTCAGCTGCAAGACAGAGGCAGTTATAATGATTAGTCTTTGATTATGTTTGCATCACCCATCTCTCCCCTTTTGCTGGTCTTAATGGGAGTGATCTTCATCTACATTCTCTGACTTTCATTCTACACCATTTTCCTCAGTTTGTATTATACGTTTAAAGCATTTTACAGGTTCTTTTCCCCCATATAGGTTATTAGAGAGTATCGAGTAGAGTTCCCTGTGCTGTACGGTAAGTGCTTGTGGATTATCTATATTATGTATAGTGGTGTGCACGTAGGTATATGTATAACCGAACCGCTTTGCTGCACACCTGAGACTGACACAACATTGTAAATCAACTATACTCCACTATAAAATAAAAATTAAATTAAAAAAATGTTAGGATATAGTACACTTTAAAATTTTATTTCGTTGCACAGTTTCTTAGACACAAGCTACCTACTCTGCAATATCCCATTTCCATCGAAATAAAATGAAATCTGGAGTCCTTGGAGAGCACATGAACTTATTGCTGTGGCCGGGGGACTGAAGAAAGCCAGAGGGTCTCTGAAAGGGACGCAGACTTTTGCCGCAGACACAGGCAGAAGTGGGAAACAGGGTCTGCAGGTTATGAACGCTCATGTCTCAGAACTTTCCTGAGATCTCCCGCGAAGTGTTTGGTTGTTACTTTTCTTGGATACACTCAATTCTTTCATAATCATCCACATGCGTCTTTGGTTAGCTCCATGAAAATAGCAATAAGCGATTTCTTCCACTTTAGCAAAAATCATCTTGATACTCAATGAACTGGCATGCCCCCTCTTATTTTCATTCTGATTAACAACCAGTTTTCTTTGGAATAGAATAATTCAGTCAGCCATGGAAAGCCGGTACTCATTTTAGCACTGCACAGAAGAAAGCTGGTAAGAAGTTTGCTGAAAGGAAAATCATGGAAATTTAGGGTTGATCCATTTATATTTTGCTAGATTTCCACCACTCAGCCTGTCACTCTGTGACCTGAGACATTTTCTGAGGCTTTCGTGATGCACAGCTTTTACTTTTGATGACCTGATGATCAAGTCAGCTGATACTCAGAGAGTGCGTGAACTCCCTGAAGGAAGGCATCCACAGCCTCGCTTTCCATTCCCACCCGCTTTCCCTGATTCGTTTACATTCCTGGGATTGCTGTCATTTGATTGTCCAACTACGTCCCACTGACAGCTATTCATGTTGCAGAGATTACGAAGAGAACAGGAAGGGGAACACAGTGCACTCAGTTTTGTCTACAGTCAGAACTCTAATCTTGCGGCTGCCTTTGGAGACGATAGCAGAAGCCTAAGATGCGCTTTCTTCTGCGTTTGGATGGGAAAGTATGTTCAAATTTAACTGAGATCCACATTCCACGTTTTTGTTAATATCAAGTAAGTTGGAGAATAGGTAGTTGGCAGATGCAGAAAAAAATTAACTTCACATTTAATCACTATTTTACGATGTTAATCAGACTGAAACACTATAATAGCTTTTCAAAGCTAAGCATATGTAAGAATTATCCATTGCTTTACTGGAAATTTGAAAATTACCTGATGAGTCAATGGAGGTGATTAACATTGCTATTGAATATTTAAACAGAATTTTCATGATGATCTCTGAGTTTGGGGATTAAGAGAAATAAGGTGAAGGAAGATTGATTTCATAGCTGGAGGGCTGTCTTCACGTATGGTTTTGATGTGGTGTTTCTAGGACACAGCCAGTAATATTATATTTCGATACCCTTTCTTCTCTTCTCCTGAGTCTCAGTCAATTTACTGATGTTTCTGAGGCGCTAGGCTGTAGGGAGCAGTAAGGGACGGGTGCTACATGTCCCACCGGGAAAACCAGCGTTGGATACGTTCTCGGCCCTTCTCATGCCTTGAAGTGACATGAAAGTCTTCACTTAAGGGATCTTTTACAATGTTTAAAACATGTCTATTGCTCATGATAAGATGTGCTCATTCATAGAAACATCCGGAGTCCCGGAGAGTCTTGATCCAATTAAGGCTGATTGACATCAGGCTTCTGAAGTGAAAAATGGGTTGTCCTGCCTGTGACATTTCCTTCACGTACTCTTTATGAAGTCAGTATTTCCAAGAAATATCTCCTCTTATGATCCTAGTCTGCCTTCTCATCTGGCTCCCATAGATAGATGTTGCATAATGTACACGAGCAGTGCCTGTCCCATTTACCCACTGCGCCCGAGCCGTCTCTTAGGCATTTGTTCAAAGGAGTGATGCCTCAGCTCAGAGACACCCGGATCAGAAACGAGTTCATGGTATGTTTTCAATCATTTCCAAATGTACCCATTCAGAGTGGGCTGAAGGAGTACAGAAGAGACATGCATGAGAATGTCTTATCTGCTTGGAAGAGCAGTGCCTACAGATGTTTCCACAAAGATATTGGGCGTCCCTCCAGGGATTTGTGGGATAACTTGCCCTTTCTGCACTTTCCCTGAAGTGGAAGAGAAAACAGTAGCCTGACTTTCCTAAGTTCTGCCTGCAGATACCTTATCAAGGGAGTGAACCCAACGGACTTTGGAAGGTCCTGCGGTCCTGGAGGAGGGGTCATGGGTGGACCCCACAAGCCTCTTTCTAAACTATATCAAAGGAACTTCAGAAGCTAGCTTAGTGCACTCAGCCCTTTTGTGTTTTTTAGTACATGTGAAATTTCTTTACATTCTTTCTTTTCTTCAATTACATGTGATGGTTTAAATCCAACATTTTTACGGTAGCTGTCTTTTGCAAAGACCCCCATCCAGGTTCTGCCGTGTGAGGGGGTGTGTATCACAGGTTAATCCCCTTGTTAATGGCAAATAATTAAAGTGGCAAAATCATTCGTATGTCCTCCTCTATGCAGTATATCAACGCTCCTGAAATCTCCGTAAATTCAACTTAATACAGATTTTGGAGAGGAAAAAACAAGTCAATTTCTTCTTAACGTGGTGATTTTCTTAAGTTTACGGAGTGTATAGCCCCTTGTAATTCTTTGGATTTCACAGGCAATCATGGTCCCTGGACACTTTAACAGGAAAAAAAAAAAAAACAAAAAACTAGTAGCTATTAGAAGCACCACATTAAGCTTTCACAAGAGTTTTTTTTTTTTTTTTACACGAAACACTTTAAGAATTCCAAAACAATGTCAATAGAGTTGGACGAGTTGGTGAAGACATTTTCTATTATTTAATTTATTTTAAAGTGGTTCAAGAACTGGACGGCTTTATGGTTCCAAAGCGTCCCTCAGCCGTGAACACCAACATAGACACACGGCTCCGTTGTATGATCTGCTGCTGCATAAAACCAAGCCCTGAGTCATCTGTGGGAAACTGAACTTTCTCTGGGAGTCCACCAACATCTAATTTCTGTATATGGATAAATTAAAAAGGATAATTAGATTTAGTTCTTATTTCGTCTCATTTCCTTATTTTCCACACTTCCTAAATTCCAGCAATCAAAATACCATACTTCTGAATCTGTTTATGTTTTGTTTCTATCTTTTTCAATGGCTGGAGATGTATTTTTGCTTTAAGAGACTTTCACAACATTTTTTTCCATGCCCAGGACTTACTGATTTTTTTTTTTTTATGGTGGCAGCCTGCCCACTCTGTGCCATGGCTGCTGCTTGGTACAGCTGAGCCTGAGCAGCCTGACTCACTGTCAGAGGATGGCCTTTCTGTTTTTCTTTTTTTCTCCTACTAACCTTTGAGCGTATGTGGAAAGGAACATTGGTGCATAACTTTCGCTCTGCCTCATTCATTAATTAACTTCCTGCCCCTCACACAGTATCAGCAACTGGTCACAGGGAAATCTCACTCCTACCAAGGTCAAAGCTGTTTTATAGAAAATACTGATTTCTTTTTTTTGTATTTTTTTTTTTTTTTTTGGCTGCACTGTGCACCTTGTGGTATCTTAGTTCCCTGACCAGGGATTGAACATGGGCCACGACAGTGAAAGCGCCAAATCCTAACCACTGGACCATCAGGGAACTCCCAGAAAGTACCGATTTTTATCAGCTGTATCCCTAAGCATATTCTCTTCCCCTATAAGGTAATTTATGAAATCACTTAGAATAGTAACTGGAACATAAATTTAGGTGTAATCAACATTGAATGTCTGTGGTCTTCTTGGGTGACCTTTTACTAAATAATCTATACTATGTGTTGGGTGAAGCCCTATTATATTTATTTTTTATGACCAAATGTCACTTCTCCTTTGAAATTCTGAGGACTTGACTTACCAATTTCCACTATTTTTGGTTTCACGTCATTGAGACCTCTGTTGAATTACCTCTATTGGCCATTTACCATGAAGTGTTGTAATTATTTATATACATGTTTCATTTTCCTTAGTGAATTATAAGGATTCGGTCTTTATACCCTTCTTCTCTCCCCAGCGGTACTGGTAATAATAGCTAACATGCACTGAACGTCCTCTGTGGGGCAAGCTTCTGTTTATATTGGTGATCGCATTTAATCCTCACATAAACCCTAATGGGACATCATTAGTGTCCTTATTTCCTTGATGAGAAAATAGAAGCCTAGGGAAGTTTTCTGAGTTCACACTTCTAGCTGCTTGTGGAGCGAGGATTGGATTCAAGGAAGTTCAGTTGCCGTGGCTTTACCGTGAACCCAGACGTCCTAATGCCCACAGTAGAATCCTTGGCACGCACTGGATGCATCTGGCTTCGTATCTTTTCGGTTTTTCCCTCTTTCGTTGCTCATCCATCTGTAGGTTTTGTGACGAGAAGTCTGGGTGCAAAGCCTGCTTGGCGCTGCTTTGATACACGTGGCCGGAAGTGGGAAGGGCGGAAGGCCTGCTCATCTCTGGCTTTCTGAAGGGAACCTCAACTTCCCAGGGAAGCCCTGCAGTGAAGCACAGCCTTGCGAGTTTTCTGGCGTCACAGAATACTCTAGTGTGGAGTTAGTCCTTGGACTTTGTTCTTGCAGTTGCCTTTCGTAGCCACATGTTTTCCTACATACATTTTAGCGCGTCCTTTCAGCAAATTTTGTTTCGTTAAAAAATCTCTTTATCTCCTTTCTTTTGTTTTAAAAATTTTTTTGGATGTGGACCGTTTTTAAAGTCTTGGTTGAATTTGTTACAATATTGCTTCTGTTTTATGTTTTGGTGTTTTGGCCTCGAGGCACATGGGATCATAGCTCCCCAACCAGGGATCGAACCTGTACTCCCTGCCTTGGAAGGCAAAGTCTTACCCACTGGACCGCCGGGGAGGTCCCTCTCCTTTCTTTTAAATGGGAAGGAGGGAATAGACATGAAAATGATAGCTGTGGGGAGAACCCATGCCTTCCCTCTGTGTCCTCCCCTGGGTCACCCACCACACACACAGTGTAGATGACTGTGCGTCTCCTGTCCCCTTTATTTCCCGTGTCTGCCCCCAAACATGAGGGCAGCGATTGTGTTTCTTCCTGAAGTCCCTCTTAAGGCCATCCACATTAAGACTTCTCTTTTTCTTCCTGGGTGTTTCAAAAACTAGACTTTGCCCTTTAGCACCTAAAAATAATACTAATAAAAAAAATAATAAGGAATCGCACTTTATGCCAGGGCTTTTACCGATGTATCTTGCCTTTGCTGGTGGTCAGCATGAGGAAGTGAATCTCTTCTTCCTTAGCCCAGTCATCCTCAGAGGATACTGGCAATGAGCCATTGTAACATGGGGTAAATAAGACGTATGGCAAAGCTAAAAGCTGAAAATAGAATTCATTTCCTATCAGCTTGTTCTATAGAATGTTTTCCATCTGGGGCCAGCTTTCACGTGATCACTCAGTCACATGGACTAATCTGGTCTCACAGACATCAAGGGAATTTCTAAAACACTTTACAGCAAATGGAATTGTAATGTTTGAATATTAAAAAATTAACTATTCTTGAGAAGTTATATTAGATATTTTTTTACTGCTCTTTGGGGCAACTGTAGGGCTACTTGTGTGTTTTCCTCTCAAGCCTTATGAGTTATGTTCTCTTTTCTGAGTTCCTAGGCTCTCCTGAAGGTCTGACTTATAACCACTTCCTCATAATATGTTCATAAGCACATCTGCCCCCCATTTTGCATACAGTTTTAGGGAATTAACAGAACTCCCAAAGACACTAGGAGTTTTGGGATATTGCCTGGGACGATATTTTTCCAGGCCATTTATCTAAGTGAAGTCTAAATCAGCAGCATTAATACAATGATCTGAGCACAGAAAACAAACTTGTGGTTACCGAAGGGGAAAGGGAGGGGGGAGGATTGAATTAGGGGTGCAGGATTAACAGATACAATCTACTATGTGTAAAGTAGATAAACAACAAGGACATACCGTATAGCACAAGGAATTATAACTATTATAATAACTTATAATGGCGTATAGTCTACAAAAATACTGAATCACTATGCTGTACACCTGAAACTAATTATAATATTGTAAATCAATTATACTTCAATAAAAAAATACAGTGATTAGAGAAAGAGTGTCCAGAGACTCACCGTAGCTACTGAGGCTGTGGAAGTGCTAGTTATAGATAGAAACGGTGTCCCCCGGAAAAGCTGCCATTGGGAGCTCTATATTTTATTACACTGAGCTACTGAGCAATTCTTTTTTTTCACATCTTTATTGGACTTTTTTGGAGTATAGTTGCTTTACAATGTTGTGTTAGTTTCTGCTGTACAACGAAGTGAATCGGCTCTATGCGTACATATATCCCCATATCCCCTCCCTCTTGAGCCTCCCTCCCACCCTCCCTATCCCACCCCTCTAGGTGGTCACAGAGCACCGAGCTGATCTCCCTGTGCGATGCAGCAGCTTCCCAGTATCCATCTGTTTTACATCCGGTAGTGTATATATGTCAATGCTACTCTCTTACTTCGTCCCAGCTTCCCCTTCCCCTGCTGTGTCCTCAAGTCCGTTCTCTACATCTGCGTCTTTATTCCTGCCCTGCCACTAGGTTCATCAGTACCGCTTTTTTAGATTCCATATATAGGTATTAGCATACGGTATTTGTTTTCCTCACTTACTTCACTCTGTATGACACCCTCTAGGTCCATCCACCTCACTACAGATAACTCAATTTCGTTCCTTTTTATGGCTGAGTAATAT